TCCGCGCGGATCCCGGGGTCACCGCGGGAGTCGGGGGTCCTGAGTTCGAGTCCCAGGGCTGTTGCTAACTTTTGGAGCCCCGCTCACTTTTCCCCGTGGGTTTCAGCGCACTCATTTGCAAAATGGGGCGAGTAGTACCTGATCGATCGGTAGGTCGATGGGCTCATTCATTCTCGGCGCTTTACTAGGTTGTGGGGCTGCACGTGGATAGACAGAACCTGCCCAGGAGGGGTCGGTCCACTGGCCAGTGGAAAAAACCCCACCTTACTCGTCAGGAGGGTCGAGTACAGTTAGAATTTGGGCTTTCTTTGAAAAAAGAACTTGTTTTTCAGACAAGATATGTTAATTTGAACATAGAAAAATGAGACTTTTACTGAGATTGGGTAATGAGAATTTTACTTGGAAGGTAGTATGTATACTGTTAACTGATATATTACATATTGTGATGACAACTTAAATACAGGAAAATTTGCAAAGTACATTCACAACCCTGTCACATGTGATCTTCACAGTCAAATGAGGTCATCTGGGCAGGTGATGTATCTTTTTACTAGTGAAGAAATAGAGGCAGAAGTTAATACCTTACCCAGGCTCTCTAGTTCCCGACCTCCTGGACCAGTGCTCTTTCTACTACACTAGGATGCCTGCATATTTCCACTTTATTTTTATAACATATGAATCATTTATTTGTGACAAAAAGGGAGTTCTGTGAGGTCAGGGATGACCTTTAAGCAGACTTACAAACTCTCAGATTGTTTTCTAATTTCTAATTGGCATTCTTTTCATTCTGCTTTCACCTTGGGTGATTTTATCTTGACATTCACAGCCGTAAATCGCAAATCGATATCTTCTGCCCAATTTCTACTAGCTTCAAACTCCTAAATCCAGACATCACTGGAAGTTTTCATGTGGATGTCCTACAGGCATGTCAAACTCAGTATCTCCTAAACCGCATACACTACCTTTCTCCACAAACCTGTAACCCAAATCTAAATGATTGAAATCATTATCCAACCAACCAGTCGCCAGAGCACAAAACCTGGCTTCTCAGCTCCTACAATTAATTGATCACCAAGTGCTGCCAATTTC